CCCTGAGAAACACCGCGGTAGACCGCCCTTCCGCACTGGAGTTCCGCTTTTTTGCGGAACTCCAGTCTTCTATCCCGGAAGTAGTCCCTAATAATTGAGCCCAGGGGGGAGGACCCTGAAATGGGCCAGACCCGCCTCCACCTGGTCCCAAGGGAGGGAGTTGAAAGCGTTGGCGATGTCCAAGGACACCGCCAACACAACTCCCCCCCTCCTCACGACGGCCTCCGAGAGGGACTGGACGCGTAAAATCGCGTCCACGCCCGACCGTCCCTCCCGGAAGCCGTATTGCTCCTCACTGAGCTTTGGACTACCCCGGGATAGGTGTCGGACGAAGCGGGCGTGTATTATTCTTTCGAATAACTTGCCCGCCTCGTCCGGTGCATATTTGACCTAAATCGGATCATTCTAACTATGCTAAATAAAGCCTTCAATTTCATGCAAAAATAATGGATTTCTTTTTACTACACCTTATATATATATATATATTTTTTTTTCATACACATAAAAGCTGTACAAACTCGCATAATACGCAACTTTTTAAAACAAACTTGGCAGAAAATGCGGAGTGCCTCTGATTAATACGTATATATTAATATGTATATAAAGAGAAAAATATCAGTCACAGGACCGCACCCTGACGAGATATCCCTTGTCCACAACCTTGCTTTAACCTTTTAATTATTTTTAAAATAATCGACTGTGGTTGGTCAATTTCTTACGACTCAAAGATTAAAGCAAGGTTGTGAACAAGAGGTTACTTTATCTTGCTTAAGTTAATTTCTGAACGACTATGGGTTACTTTTCTAACCCCGAGTTGGATTTCTGAACGCAGTTATTTATAGTCGAAATTATGTATATTCAAATGAACGCAGTATTTTTTATTACAGACAAATATAAAAGAAAAAAAAATCGAAAAATTAATTTTTCTTAAAACGCTGTTTTCTTATTCTTTATTATTTTTGAATAACTAAAGTTTCTATAATCACATTCATATGGATAAAAAAAAGTTTTACTCATTTTATTAATTACAAGTTGCTGTATATATTTCGCCATGAATATTTTTGGCGTAATCTTCGACTTGTATATTAATATCTTCGCTATTTTTCACTTTTTCCACTTCCAAAAAGTTATATAACTTTATGTAAAAATGTGTATATAAGCTATTGGAAATAAAAACGGATATTTAGATTCAACTTATTTTTAAAGCAGCAGTCTTTTTTTTAAATTTTCACAAAAGAGAAGAATGCATTTTATAATCATATAATAAACATATTATATATATATATATATATATATATATATATATA